CGGTAGGTGCTCTGCACGCCCCGCCTGCCACTGGGAGGAGGGACCCTCGGCAGGTGCTCTGCGCGCCCCGCCTGCCACTGGGAGGAGGAGCCCTCCGTAGGCGCGCCCCGCCTGCCACTGGGAGGAGGGACCCTCGGCAGGTGCTCTGCACGCCCCGCCTGCCACTGGGAGGAGGGACCCTTCCTTGGTAGATACTCCTGCTTCTACCCCAAGTCTGGTTCACACCTGTCGCCTGTGCCGGAAATATACAAGCGAAGTGTTTACACTCCCCGAGTGTAGCAGACGAATTGTGTCCCCAGCTAACAAGGGCACAGCCCCAGGAAGAGAGGAAAGTGCAGGAAGCAGGCATCAGAGAAGAAATGGGGCCAGGGAAACACAGGACTTCCGGGACAGACGTGGGCGGGAACCACAGGGCGTCTGTGGGTCAGCAGGGAGGGCAGGCTGGCAGGTGGACCGGCCCTCTGCAGCATGGGGCCCTCCCTAGTCCAGCCCCGAACTGGCGAGTGTGAAGCAGGCCCCGGCTCCTGGTGTCGCCCACGGCAGTGGCTCTGACCGGCCCACACGGGGACCTGGGGAGCTCAGAAGCTGCAGGAGCAGCCTGCAGTGGGCCTGAGCATGGGGTGCCGTGGCTCCCAAGCCCGTGTACAGTGGGGCGGCCCTGGGCCACCTTGGCTCCCCTCTATCCCCACCTCCCACAGCCACGGAGGCTGCTGCCTCAGTGCACCCAGGTAGCTCTGAGAAGGGCAGTCAGGACCTTCTTCCCCCTCAGCCCAGGGCCCACCCTTCTCCAGAGCCCTGCGAGGCCGCCCAGGACGGCTGAGTCACCTGCTCCCTCAGGACCCTGTGACCGTCCCTACAAGCCACACAAGCCTCTGGGCACCTTTTGAAACACCTGTGCAGATGCCAGTTCCTCCCCTGGAAGGCACCTGTCCCAGCGGACAAGCTGGGCTTGTCCCCACCCACCAGCTGGTTGGGAAGACGCCCTCAGGGACCGGTGCAGCCGCAGTGTGTGCCGGGCTCCACGCCCGGGTCGCCCCGGAAGTCCTGTGTTTCACCGACTCTCACGCCTGCCTGCTACGCTTTGCCCTCTTCCTGGGGCCGTGCCCTTCTTACCTGGGGACGACACGCTTCGCCTGCTGCACTCGAGGGAGTTAAACGCTTCTCTGTGCAGCCCTGGGTTGGCCCTGAGATGTCGCCTGTCCTGCGCCTTCAGGACCTAGCACAGGACTTGACGTGCCTCATGTGAATCGATAGAGTTGTGGCTCTCGGTGTGACCTGCACAGGTGGCAGGTGGCTGTGGAGCAGAAGCCGGGCTCGGCAGGGCCCCCTCTGTGAATGGTGGTGAAGGTGCCCCAGCGAGGGGGGGCTGGGGCGGAGCAGGCGTCAGGCCCGGGCGGAGCGCAGAGGCCTCCAGGGCCCCTACCCCATGCAGGCCCGACCCGGCCATACCTGCTTCTGCCCCCCCAGGTGCCGCCTTCCGCTGTCCTTAGATGTGATTTGTGGTGGTGTCCAGCTTCTTGAAATCAAAGCTTAAATCGAGCTTTTTCTGGCTTTTTCTTGTATTCAAGGCTGTGCTTTTCCTCTAACCCCCATTTCAGTCTCCTAAGTTTTGATACCGGAGGATTGAACCCGTCTAGGGTCACTTGCCATGCTGTGTAAGGTGCTGCCCAAGCTCCCTGTCTGTTGTGTGACAACCCAGCAGATTGAGGAGCGTGGACACAGGCCGAGGCTGGAGCAGAAGTTTAATAAGTGAAAGAGGAAAGCGCTCTGCGGCGGAGAGGGGGCCGCCGTTTTTACAGTTGAATGTGAACGCTTTGATAGGAAACTCCCCTCATCCCTTTGGCTGTTCTTGTGACCTCCCTTGTCTGTGCAGCCTCGGGTGTGTCTTTAGGGAGCAGGAGGTATAGCTTCTCGTCCGTGCAGCTGTGGGTGTGTTTTGGACGAGCCCCCGTCCACCCCTCCCACAACCCACACAGGTGCCCTCGGACCCCACCAAGAACAGACCTGGAGGGGAAGAGACTTCCCGGGAGCAGGCTGGTGACCCGGAGAACGGAGGCCTCTCTGCCGGGCCTGCCTGCCCACCAGTGCAGCTGCCGCGTGGTCCTTCCCAGGCTGCTCTCTCTGTGCCCGTGGCTGTGACTTTTCGGGCTGTCTCTCCGAGGACCAGCCTTGGCTGTAGGCCTAACTTTTCCTTTTCTTCTCCCTCAGTATTTTCATTCTCTAAGTCCGTTTAAAGTATTTTCTAAATTCCATTGCGATTTCTTCCTTGACTGACTTGATGATTGTATCTGGTTTAATTTCAAGGCGCCTGTGTTTCTCACGGGTGTATTTTCATTACTGACTTCGGTTTAATGTTGTGGTTGAAAACACACCCTGAGTGACCTCGGTCCTGGGGACTCCACGGTGGCTGCACGTGACCCAGCCCCGGTCGGTTTTGGTAGCTGCTCCTCACACACCTGAACCGCGTGCGCCGTCATTAGAGGGACAAGGCTCTGTGCGCCCGGCGGCCTGCGCTGCGCCGCCTCCAGCGTGCTTGCTGGTTTCCACCTGCGCTCAGGTGGCCCACCTTACAATCGGGCTTGCCAATCACTCCTCCATTTCTATCAGTGTCCTTTATATTTTGATGCCTAATCATTGAGTGCACACAGATTTCACATTGCGACACCTGTGACCTGAACAACCGGGGGGCTCCCTCTCAACCCAGTTGTTTCAGGGGCTGCCTGGGCTTCCTACCCCCAGGTGGGGGCTTGTTTCCCAGCCAGACCAGGGACCCCTGGGCCTGTGCAAGCCTCAGCTCCAAGAAAGGTGCTTCCGAAACGGGAACAAGAGCCCCTCGGAATGCTTGGTACTGCAGGCCCATGTGACTCAGGCCAGCTTCCTGGGGGGGCTGCGTCCTCACCCTGGCTGCAGCGTCTCCTCACCCAGGCTCGGGGGCCAGGGCCACCCTGCGTCAGCTCAGGGCTGGAGGGTTTGGGACACGGAGGGGCCACGCTGCGCCTGAGGTGCCCCCCACCCGGGAACCCTGCCGAGGAGCCCAACTGCCCCAGCCTCCCTGGGTGGACCCTGCCCACGGCGACAAGCAGGAAGACAGATGCCCGCCAGCCTGTGGTGTGTGTTACAGGTGGGCGCCAAGCTAAGCAACCTCAGGTCTCTGGAGCTGGAAGCAGAGGAAGAGGATGCCGTGAAGTCCAGCAGGGACCTGCCAGCCTCCAGGGCGGCCCCGGAGGAGCACGGCAGGAAAGGCGGGGACCTGAAGGTGCGGCTGCCCCTCCTACCCCTCTTGTGTCCTCTTCTGGAGCCCGGCCTGAGCCTGAGCCTTGTGCCCCGCAGAGGAGGATGGTTCTGGCCCAGCGGTACCTGGCGCAGGCGTCAGAGGTGCTGCTGCAGTGCCTACACGTGGCCCTTGGCAGTGGCCTCCTGGATGTGGCAGCAGCCGCCAGCCTGGAGATGGTGGAGTGCATCGGCGCACTGGACCCCATGACTACCTGCCAGTTCCTGGCGCTGTCTCAGGTGTGGCTCTGGCCCGTGCACCTCCAGCCAGGCCCTTCAAGGAGGAGGGAGGACCCTGGCACAAGGAAGCTCTCTCTGCAGGGGTCCCGCCCCTGGGATTCAGCTGGGGCCCTCACCTTGGGAACTCCATTAGAGACGAGGGCCATAGGCCGGGGTTCTCAAACAGCGGGAGCCCGCCGGCCACGTAAACTTGTGGCTCAGAGAGAACATGCATTCGTGAGCCCAACCCCAAACCCCACATCGGGCAGACACGGAGACCCAGCAGTCAGTCACAGGCCGGCAGGGCCGTGTCTGTGTGGTCCTATGGGGGAACAAGTGTGGCCCCACGAGACTCTGCAGGTGCCAGGAGGAGCTGGCGTCCTGGGGGAGCCGGGCAGGAGAGCCAGCCCACTCCTGCCCCAGGCTCAGCCACGGCGCCCCTCCGCGGGCTGCAGCCCTCCCCGGCCAGGCCTTGGGCCCTGGCACGCCTCCCCTGCTCTGTTTCAGAGCTGCTCGGCCTCAGATACAATGAGGGACGTCCTGCTCGCAGCCACGGCCAACACCAGCAGCTCCCAGCTGGCAGCCCTCCTGCACCTACAGCACCAGCTCCGGCGCCAGGACAGGACCACCACCAGCCTGGGCGCCAGCGTGGAGCAGAGGCTGGCTGCTGTGTCCAAGGTAACTGGGCAGGGATGTGGCTGAACCTGCCCCCAACGCTGGGGCTCTGCGGACAGACATCACAGCCACACAGTCCCACGCCGGAGTGAGGGCAGCCTTGCGCTACCCCCGGCTCCTGCGCCGTCCCTCCCCCCGCCCCTCTTCCCACCCCAGTTGTGTTCGCCTGGGCCACCTGGCCTCTTGGAGCCTCGGTGTCCTCCTGGTCCTTGGCGGGCAGTAACAGCCCACCTGATGGGTGCTGTGAGGTTGGCGAGGCCACTGCAAACGCACAGCCCAGCCTGCTGCCGAGAGCTGGCCACCAGGCGGGCCGAAGTGCCCCGAGGGCCTCACGGGGATCGGAGCTGGGTCAGGTCCGAGGCTTCCGTCTTGAGAAACATTTGTAGGGCAGGATAGCTATGGCACCTTTTATTTGGATTATCAGGTGTGAATGGCAGTATTTAAAGAAAAAAGACTTACGGACATTTCTCAAATTGTGGGAAATGGACAAACGTGGCCTGGTGGCTCCCCCTCCCTCGGGGGCTACGTGGCTACCTTCGTGGTCTTCTCGCTGGGGTGGACCTGACCAATTATCCCCTCGTCCAGGGCTGTTGGGCAGACAGTGCTTTGCTGGTGAGGGTGGGGTGGGGGCTGCATCCACCACTGGGTGGCAGGAGCACCCCCTGCCATTGTGACATCCAGAGACATCCGCAGACATCACCTGTGGGAAAACATGGTCCCAGCTGGGAACAGGTGACCCCACCCAGAGGTGGGAACCTGGAAAGCTGCCGTCCTTCTGAAGCTGAGAGGATGGAGGGTGGCAGGCAGGGAGTGGGCGGCGGAGGCGAGGGGACTGCAGGCCCAGCCCAGGCCCGAGGACAGGAGAAGGTGGCATGGCCCGGCCCTGCGCCTGGAGGAAGACCCTGGTGCCCATGGCCCGCCGGAGCTGGGTCCAGGAGGGTGTGCACGGAAAGCAGAAATAAAAACGGGCTAAGCTGGACATCAGCGGAGGACCTGTCATCTAAGCCAGATGTAGGGGGGTGTGCATGTGGCCTAAGCTTGGCGTTGGGGGCACCTGTGGTCTAAGCTGGGTGCAGAGGTGCATGCCTATGGTCTAAGCTGGGTGTGGTGGAGTACATGCCTATAGTCCTAGCTGCTCAGGAGGCTGAGGCAGGAGGATCACTTGAGCCCAGGAGTTCAAGGCTGCAGTGAGCCCTGATGGTACCTGTGAGTATCCACTGGCCCCAGCCCGATTAACATAGTGAGACCCCATCTCAAAAAGAAAAATGGGCCACCTGGGCAGCACTTACTGGACAGGGTGAGATGTGAGCAGCCAGGCTCACACCAGGGCACCTGCTGTGGGTGAGCTGGGCACGGGAGTCACAGCCCTCCCTCCCCTGTGGCTGTGGACCAGGCAAAGCTCACCCCATTGGAGCTTTGGGGACCAAGGACCCCAGCATGTGTGACTGATGGCTCCTATGTGTCATCCCCAGGCCATCAGTCACCACGATGGGGGTCACCACCCCTCAGGTCCCACCTCCCCCACCCATGCTGTTGCAGGAACCCTCATGGGAGTGGTACGCCAACTTGCAGCCAGGCACAGACTCACTGCAGTCAGGCTGGGGGACGGCGTCACAGCGGGCCCAGGCCATCAGGCCAGTAAATGGCAATGCCTCATATTCTTACAGTCATGAGCGATGGAAGCAGTGAGAACTGGCTAAGCTAAAATTCCCGCACTGAAAACACCTACTGCAGTGAGCCGACCCTCACCCTCTGCCCGGGGGCCCCTGGATGATTCAGGGATCAGCTGGGACTGGTGTCAGCAGAGTCTCTGCAGGGAGGAGAAGGAGCAGCCTGGAGCCAGGAGGGGAGAGGCCACCTCACTGCTGCTGGGAGCAGCCCCACAGCTGTCCCACCCCGGGGACACCCGCTGACAGCAGAGCCCCACGGCACCCTGGGGACAGCCACTGAGAGCAGAGCCCCGCGGCACCCTGGGGACACCCACTGAGAGCAGAGCCCCGCGGCACCCTGGGAACACCCACTGAGAACGAGCCCCACGGCACCCTGGGGACACCCACTGGGAGCAGAGCCCCGAGGCACCCTGGGGACGCCCACCAGGTCCTGGGCCTTAGGGATGCTCCCCTTGAAGCTTCTGGAAGGCAGTGAAGTCTGCTGTGGTCCTGTGGTGCCTGGAGAGGACGCAGCCCCCAGGACGCAGTGTCCCCTGCAGCAGCCCGTATGTGCTCTCCTAAATGAAGCGCTCTTGCAGGGGCTTCAGGGAAAGCGAACGTGGCCAAAGGTTGAATCTGTGACAGAGAAGCAGACTGAAAAGACGGAGCAGGGGCGCTGTGATTTGAAAGCTTGTCCCGCTCGAAACCCGTGTTGAAACATGAGCCCCGTGTGGCAGTGTTGAGAGCTGGGGCCTTTTAGAGGTGACTGGGTCATGAGGGCTCACAAATGGGTCAACCCGTTTGTCGGCTAATGAGTTAATGGATTAATGGTTATCCTGGGAGTGGGGCTGGCGGCTTTGTGAGAAGAGGAGGAGACCTGGGCTGACAGCCGCTCGCCGTGTGGTGTCCTGAGCCACTGGGGACCCTGCAGAGGCCCCACCAGCAACAAGGCCCTCACCAGATGCGGCCCTTTGACCGTGGACTTCTCAGCCTCCAGAACTGTAAGAAATAATTTCCTTTTCTTTAGAAATTACTCAGTTTCAGATATTCTGTTATGAACAACTAGAAATGGACTAAAAATTGGTGTCGGGAGTGGCATTGTTGATACTAATGAATACCTGAAAATATGGAAGCGGCTTCGGAACTAATGAGCAGAGGCTGAAGCGTCTGGAGGAGGAGCGTTACAAACCCATGTCTAGACAGGCCATTAAGGGTGATCCTGGCGAGGGCCTGCCTGGAAGACGGGATAATTAGGGGGCGTTTGGAACTCTTTTGTTTGAGATGGAGCCCGCTCTGTCACCAGGCTGGAATAGAATGGCGTGAGATCTCGGCTCACTGCAACCTCCGCCTCCCGGGTTCAAGTGATTCCCCTGCCTCAGCCTACTGCATAGCTGAAACTACAGGCACACGCCACCACGCCTGGCTAATTTTTGGTATTTTAGTAGAGATGGGGTTTTACCATGTTGACCAGGATGGTCTCAATCTCCTGACCTCATGATCCTCCCGCCTCAGCCTCCCAGAGTGCTGGGATTACAGGTATGAGCCACCGCGCCCGGCCAAGTTTGGAGCTGTTTAGAGATCTGGTAAGTAGTCGTGACCAGAATGCTGATGGAAGTATGGACAGGAAAGGCCATGCTGATGAGATTTCAGATGGAACTGAGGAGCAAGGTGTTAAAACCTAGAATAAAGGTCAGCCTCATAGCCTTGTCATACATCAGCAAAGGCCTTGGCTGTTGTTGAAGGGCATTTGGCAGAATAAACAGTCAAGCAGCAAAGACTCAGGCTGCTGCGTGGCTACTTACAGCCACTACATAAGCTGCAAGAGGAAAAAATGACTCGGAGGTGGAAATTAGCATCAAAAGAAGAGCAGAAGGGTGTGGAAGCTCTCGGCCTGGCCACGTGAAGAGTCAGAGGTGCATCCAGGAGGGTAGCAAGGCTCTAGACCATTCGCCAAAAGTCAGCCTGGAGAGAAGGGCCGGGTGCTGTTCCTCAGAGACCTTCAATTCTGCCCTCCTGTTCCAGGCCTGGAGGCCACGGAGGGCAGAACCATTCCGGTGGATGAGCCAGAGGAGCCCTCTACAGGGTCCCCGCCCAGGGCCTGCTGGGGGCCATGCTCCCTAAATTCCAGTGCAGTTCTCCTTGGCAGCCCAAGCAGTGGCTTAGGCAGCTCTGGTGCAGACAGACCCACAGCTGAAGAAGATGTGGCCACGGCCACGTGGCACAGATTCCACAGGCTTGCAGAGAGCAAGATGGAGGCTTTGCAGCCTCCACCCAGATTTCAAAGGATGCCATTGAACCTAGGCAGAGACTCGTCCCACGGATGGAGCCGCCTTAGTCAGCCCCACCAGAGCAAAGCCTGCTGCGGCCATGGGAACAAGACCCCCCCCAGGACCTGAGAGCTGTGGAGCCACTGGCAGCTTGCAGCACCCACCACGGGAAGGCTCAGGCAGACTCCAACCGTGAGAGCAGCCATGTCGGCTGCACCCAGCAAAGCCATCGGGGCGGCCCAACCCCCCACCCGTGTCCAGAAGCAGCAGGTGCCGTCAGAAAAGGCCATTCCCTGGCTTTAGGGTCACGTCAGCCCTGCGGGGTCCGGCTTTCTTGGAGCCCACCACTCCTCTCTTTTTGCCTGTTCCTGTTTTCAAGTGGGAATGTCTCAGGCGGTCCCACCGCTACATGTCGGAGGAAGAGAACTTGTTTGGATTCCACAGGCTCATAGATAAGACTCTGAACTTTGGACTTTTGAGTTGCCGCTGGAAGAAGTTAAGACTTTGGGGCTTGTAGGAATGTATTTGTAGAAGAGAAAGACATGAATTTGGGGGGCAGAATGCTATGGTTTGATGTTCCCTCCAAAACTCATGAATGGATTGATCCAATTCATGGTTTTAGATTCAGGGATTATCCTGGGAGAGGGACTGGTGGCTTCATAGAAGAGATGCCCTGCGCTGCCCTGGACTCTGTGGAGTCCCCACCTGTGAAAAGGCCCTCAGCTGACGTGGCCAAATCTGACCAGTGCTGGTCCACATGCAGCCACAGCAGAGTCCCCCAGTACCGAGGCCACTTGGAGTGTGTTTTCCAGCCACGGTGATGTTAAACGGGAAATCGGTAACAAAAATGGACCAATGAGAAACATGGTTGCCTTGAAATTAAACAGTATACTCAACAATGATCAAATTAGTCAAAGAAGAAGTCACCGTGGAATTCAGAAAACACTTTAAACTGACTTAGAGAATGAAAATACTACAAGTAAAAACCTATGTGGCTTAGCTAAAACAGTTACTGGAAAAATACAGCTGTGAATACAAGAAGGAAGCCAGAAAAAAAAAAAAAAACACCTTGATTTAAGCTTTGATTTCAAGAAGCTGGACAACAACAATAAATTACATCTAAGAAAAATGAGGACAAATCAACACATCAGAAACAGTGAAGCCAAAAGGAGCAGAGGAAATCCAAGTCACAAGTTGGTTCCAAAGAGAAGACAGTGAAATGGAGAAAGCCCTGCTCAGGAAAAAACAGAGAAAAGGCGAGTTCTCAGTATCCGTAAGAAAAAGACCCCTCGCTGAGATGGTGCAGGTGTTGAAAGTTCATAGAGAATGTTCTTCATAGCCTCAGTCCATACAGGGGACACGGAATCAGACCAACTCCTCAAAGTACACCGCTCACCAGCACTGACAGAAGCGTAGAAAATCTTTTCTTTAAAATGTTGCTGCGAGGGAGACCAGAGCCCACTGGCTTCACCAGTAAATTCTTCCAAAAACGGAAAGAAGAAAAGCCACTTTCCAAACTCACAGCAAGTAGAAATAAAGCACAAACTCCCTCTTTTACTGAGAGGCCCGATGAACCTTGACGCTGGAGACTTAGCAGGGGCATTGCAAGAAAGGAACAGCTCTCCCGTCAATATTACACAAGAATCCTAACAAAACGTAGCAGATAAGGTCCAGCGGTTACAAAGGGATGCCACACCACGGTCAAGGGGTTGTGTTCCATGTGGTTTAATATTCAAAGAGCACTCAACATCAGTGACCATGTTAACAGAGGGACAAGGAGACAAATCCTAAGATCATACTGGCAGGTGCAAAAAAATGTATCTTTCAGAATCCAGCATCCACTCATGATTCTTAAACTTAAGATACAAGCAAATGTTCTTAATCCAATAAAGAATATCTATGCCGCCCTAGCAAGCATCGTGTTTAATGTACAGTATTGAAAATGTTTCCCCAAGAGTGGAAATGCACACCCTATCAGCTCTTGTATTGAATACGGCACAGTAAGAGTCAGAAAAGAAATACAATGTAGAAAGACCCAAGAGGAAATACAGGACTAAGAGATTGAAGAACTTGAGGGCTGTTCCTCGTTCGTGGCGGAGAGGCTCTGCCTGCATCATGTGAAGCCAGCAGTCTCTCTGTGGCCGAGGGTTCACACATGCTCTTCCTCCTTCCGGAGAGATCTCAGCTCGGTTCCCCGAGCCATTAGCAACGCTGTTTTCCGCAGAGGTGGCCTGACACGTGACCCAGAGCTGTGTCCCTTGTGGGGAGCCTGGGGCTGTGCCACTGCCTTGTGGCCACGGGAGACCCAGGGTGGGAGCCGTGCGAGGGGAAAATGGCACACCAGACTCCACTGAAATGCAGAAGTCCTGTTCGTCAAGGCCGCCCTGCCTTGCGAGAGTCGAGGGGCAGCCACAGAGGAGGAGAAGGTACTGACACTAGGCTGTCTGACACACGCATGGATGGAGAGCATGGGTCCCTTTTCAGTAAGAAAAGGAGACACTGATGGAAGATGGCACCAGGGTAGACTTTCACAGACTCGGAGATTCGAGTGCCCAGGAAACAATTTGAGTGGCGCTCAGGTGCCCTGGTCAGCAGGGAAGTGCAAAGCTGAAGGCTGACACAGCTAACCGGCCACCAACTAGAGTGGCCCAGATGGAAAAGGAGAACACGGCCAGTGGGGTAGACAGGGATGGGCAGCTGGGGCTCCCTGGGCCTCGTGCCCACCCCTTGGCACAGCAGCTGCTTGGCAGAGTTCTGGCAGAATCGCTGTAGCTGACGCCGCACCTGGCTCCATGCCTGGGAGAAAGGCATCTGTGCACACACGCGTCTGTGTGTCCGTGCTTGTCTGCGTGTGTGTGCATCTGTGCACGTGTGTGTCTGTGTGTCCGTGCTTGTCTGCGTGTGTGTGCATCTGTGCA